ATATTATTTTTTATTGATTTCAGAGAGGAGGGGAGAGGGAGAGAGAGATAGAAACATCAATGATGAGAGGGAATCATGGATAGGCTGCCTCCTGCACGCCCCCGACTGGGGATCAAGCCTGCAACCCGGGCATGTGCCTTGACCGGGAATCAAACCATGACCTCCTGGCTCATAGGTCGACGCTTAACCACTGAGCCACGCCAGCCGGGCCTGTCTGAGCATCTCAATATCTGAAGATCCTAATAGTGACGACGGTTGAGAACGCCGCAGCCGTCATAGGAGCCAAGTAACGGAAAACCAGGCCTGACACTCTTGTGGGGAAAGGTGGATGGCTTCTCCCACTTAATTTCCTGCAATGCACCCTCCTGCATCAACCCACAGCCCACCCAGCGACCATCGCAAATACTCACCAAGCTGCTCGGATTTTGTCCGACTGCTGGCCGGGGTAGTAAATCAGGTCATGCAATTTACTTCCAGTGTGCCATTTTGGTTTCTGCTTTTTTAAAAGCAGCTAACCTGTATATGGGCGCACCATTTCCCCTGGTAAATTATACCTTCCTCTCCTTCCTGGCCCTCCCGTACCCCCACCGCATCTGGGTTTAAGTATTGGGTTGGGCTATGTTTTCCTCCAGGAGAGACGAAGTGTCAGGAGCAACCTGGCTACTTTCACACACTACGAAGGGCAGGGTGCAGGTGTTCGCTCACTGTTTGAATAACAGTGCAAACGCAAGGCTACCGGACCACAGCCATATATTATTCCAGGGGATTTATGGCTACGAAGGCCGAAGGGAAGTCACACGCACGATCCCATTTTCATTGGATCACAGTTATGCAACAGCCCTTTCAATAGCGATGCTGATGGTTCACCCAAGCTGGCCTTTTCAGGGAGGTCCTGGATTCCTGGTTGCCTATACGCTTTCTTTCAGCTCATGTTTAATTGCCGGCAGGAGCACATTGAAAGTTTACAGTCACACTTTAAAAAGTGAATAATAATTGGCCCTGGCTGGTGTGGCTCAGTGGATAGAGCGTCGCCCTGCAGACTGAAGGGTCCCAGGTTCGATTGGGATCAAGGGCACATGCCTGGGTTGCAGGCTCGGTCTCCGGCTGGGGGCCTGCAGGAGGCAGCCGATCAACGATTCTTTCTCATCGTTGATGTTTCTATCTCTCTCTCTCCCTCTTCCTTCCTCTCTGAAATCAATAAAAAAATATTTTTTTTAAAAAAAATGAGTAATTGGTTCTGGCCTGGAATGGACTGCTAGCAAAAGGACCGTGCCACACTTACCCCAGATTAACACGATGTACCGAAGTGGGATGAAGTACAATGTGACGGTGGCGACCGCCAGCACCACACAGGCCAGGAATGAAAGGAACGGGACCGTCCAGTTAAACGTGCTGCAGGCAAACCACAGAAATGTCACTTTCTCTGAGGCTGGAACAGCTACAGCGATTCATTTGCTCGTGTTTACTTCTTAGTCATACAAGTGGAAACGGTCCATTGCAACGGTTCTCCACCTGTGGGTCGCGACCCCTTTGGGGGTCAAACGACCCTTTCACATGGGTCGCCTAAGACCATTGGAAAACACATACATAATTACATATTGTTTTTGTGATTAATCACTATGCTTTCATGATGTTCAATTTGTAACAGTGAAAATACATCCTGCATATCAGATATTTACATGACGATTCATAACAGTAGCAAAATGACAGTTATGAAGTAGCAACGAAAATAATTTTATGGTTGGGGGTCACCACAACATGGGGATCTGTATTAAAGGGTCGCGGCATTAGGAAGGTTGAGAACCAGGGGTCTATTGGGAAAGTTTCTTTGAAAACCTGGAGAGAAAGTCTGCCGGAACGACTGGGCACCGGAAAAACATTCTTCAGGAGAAGGTCACCAGACCAATGGCCATTGAGCTTCCTGGACCCGGCAGTTCCCAGGAGAAGGCTTGGCTCTCAAAAGTGATTAAAGACTGCAACACTGCCCGGCCGGCGTGACTCAGGGGATGAGCATCGACCTAGGAACCGGGAGGTCACAGTTTGATTCCCGGTCAGTGCACATGCCCGGGTTATGGGCTCCATCCCCAGTGCAGGGCGTGCAGGAGGCAGCCGATCCATGATTCTCTCTCATCACTGATGTTTCTCTCTCT